AAGAAATTACTGCAAATAATCCTGGTAAGAGGTGATGAGGGTCTGAACTAGAATGACAGCTGAGTGAATGGAAAGAAGATTCCAAAGATACCACAGAAATAGAAATAACAAGATTTGGCAACTGACTGCAAACATATAGTGAGCAAGAGTGAGAACTTGAGAATGTCACTGGGGTGGCAAATCAAGGTGAATAAAGGAAGGTGTAATCCTTGACAATAGGGAAGTTTGAAAGAGAAGTGGGCTTGTGGGGAAAGATGAATTGTTTTGGACCTGTTGAATATGGAATGCCTTCAAGAAACCTAAATATATACATCTGGGAGTCATCTTCTTAGAGATAATAAATGGACTCAATAAAGTTGATGAGGTCATTCAGAAAAGGCACCTGGGTCCATAATAGAGGCTTGAGGTCTACTCACAACTAACAGGTATGACACTGATAATGAAAAAGGTCCCAAGTCTCCTAACTACAAGTGTGGCATTCTTTCTACTACTGTTTCTCATAAAATAAAAACCTGACATTTTGAGAATTTAATATTTGCAAAGATGCTTTCCTCACAATAACCCTACAAGGCAAACATTCTAGGGGACAGATTAGTGTGAGTGTAATAAAGTCCCAATGAAAACTCTCTCCACTGAGCACAGAGAGTCTGGAAGACTTACTCATGGTAACACAACTAGTACATGTCAGGAGGACTTATGAACCTATGTCTTCCTGATTCTAAGGACCACTGCTCTATCCACTAAGCCATGTTACCTCTCATTATTACAGTAGGTATTGAGATAGATCCTACAGGTATTATTATAGTTGAGGAAATATACCCTTGAGAGATAATACAGTTTGCTTATGGCTGCATAGCTAGTTAAGTGTCAGAGGTGAGAGTCAAACCTAGGTCTCTCCCTAAGCAAGTCCAGAGGTTCTTTTTACCAAGGTTATACAAATAACTTTCTTTTAAAATCAAGTTAAAATTTTTTAAGCAAACAAAATCCCATCTTGAATGTTCACCTCATCATCTTCATCGGTTTCTTCTTCAGAGGCTACACCATAATCATCTACCATATCATCTTCACTATCCAAAGAAGCCCAGCTATCCCCTTCACTCCCTGCATCATTGTCCTCAGAGTTGTCCTCTTCATCGCTGTTATGAGGGGGGGCTGGGCGCTTTTTGCCCTTGGTAGGTACAAGCAATGCTTTATTTCCAATTTTGAGCCCAGAGGCCTGGGGTCCTTTCTTCCCAGGGGGCTGGACAGCACCTGTAGAGAACCATAGATGTTAAAAAGCCTCTTAGCCAGTTAAAGATTCCAAAGGGTCCTATACCCATCAGAATCAGCCAACAACCCTACTCTCTCCACCAACCTAGAAACTTTTTCTACCTTCAAGATGTTCCACCATCCTGCAGTTGTTTCTCTTAATTCTTAATCCTCTTGAATTATTCTATTAAGCCTACACCCATTATTGTGCTTGAAGACTTCTCAAACTAATATCCCTAGCTCCTATTTTCACACTAACCTTTTGTTAGAGGCTTTGGACTAGGAGATAGATTCTTGGTTTCAGGAACTCCTACAGACTCTGATCTCCTCTTGGCTGCCCTGAAAAAGTAGGAAGAATAAAAAAGTGAAGACATGCCTATTATTCAACCTGCTTTCCTCAAAACTGATGGAGCTTTACATCAGCATCCCCACCCACCTATGCCTGGGAGATCTAAGATTAATTTACCTTACCAGCTAACCCTATCCAAAGGTTTGTAGTTATTAGCATCCCCCTCCCCACTCCAGACTTAACCTGGCTATCCCAAACTCACCTCTTCCTGGCACGGCTACAGAGCCTCTTACCACTTTCATCACCAACTATAAAAAGAAACAACAACAACTAATGGGGGGGTGGGATACGCACTGGAGAAAAGAGAGCAGAACAAGATAGGAAAGAGATTGTGAGCCTAGGACTACAGAAATTCACAACAAAAGCTCTGGCTAATCATGCCTCAATCATTCTAAACCCCTCTGGAAGTGAAGGTCTGGACCACATCAGACCAAATCAGTAACAGGAAAAATAAAAGATAATAAACAAGGACCTTCAAAGAGAGCTAATCAAGATTCCTTTCTAGACTTCTCACCTACTGGCACTGAAGTCTTTTGTCTGGTGCTGCTGAGAAAAAAGCTCAATACAAAATGAACACAAAGCAGTTTTGAGAAGGAGTGTCTTAGCAATTGGGAGAACCAGGAAAAGCTTCAGGGAAGGTGGTGTTTGAGATGAGTCAAGGTAACATAATACACTATACTATAAGTGGGAAGGGGGAATAAAGGATGCCCCCCCGTAAGGGCCAGTGCAGGCCAGTTCCCTCGGGGAGCAGCAGCAACAGCAGAGTCCCAGTAGAAGGGTCCTCACCCGGGGGCAGGAATTTGGCGAGCTCGGTCTCAGCACCCTTCTGTTTACGGGCCTTTCGGCCAGGCCCGCGCTTCTCCTTCTTGGTGGGGTGCAACTTGCGCCCCATGACGCTGAGGCAAAGAAAAAGGGTTCATGCATTAGAGATGGGGTAAGGCGGATGAAGCAGGAATGGGCTCCGCGGGGGAAAGTGGGGGAAGACCCCCTCTCAACGGTCTCCCTCTCCCTAGGATCGCGGCTCTGTCAGCCCGAGGGAAGCCGGGGTAAGTCAGAGTTTCCTTCCTCCCGCCCAATCACTGAGCTCCGGGCTCCCAAGGGACGAAACTCTTTGGTCCCCTAGAGACCCAGTCTCCGAGAAGGCCCGAATTCGCGCTTACCTGCCAAGTACCGGGTCCACGTGCACCGCTAAGCCAGCGGTTCGCTCGCCCCACAATCCGGAAGCGGTTTTGCGCTAACGTGCTGACGCAAGACGCCCTGACGCTCGGCCTCCGCAGCCGCGGAACTTTGCCCCGCCCCTTCCGCTTGACACTTCCGGCCACGGCTTCTTTAAGCAGTCGTCCGGCTGGCTAACGCAAATTCTTGTAGCCGAGGCTAGTAACGTCTGCCGTGCCAGTGAGAACCCGAGCCTCCCCACCCCAAACCGGCCAGTCAGTCAAGAAGCATTGATTAAGTGCCCATTACGTGCCAGACGCTGTGCCAAGCGCTGGGGACACAAAGAAACGCAAAAGACAGCCCTGCTCTCGAGGAGATCGCGGTCTCAAGGAGGAGACGTCGCTAACAGGCCAAAGGGCCACAGACGGGATACGTTAGAGACAGCGGACAGAGGGACAGAGGCACTAGCAGCGAGGGGGATCGGGGAAGGCTTCTCGTCGAAGAAGGGATTGTAACTGGGACTTAAAGGAGGCGAGGCGGGGAGCGTTCCAGGCGTGGGGGACAGCACGAGGAGGGTCCGGAGCCTGGAGGCGGAATGGCTTGTGCGAGGAACAGCGAGAAGGCCAGTGTCCCCGGAAGGAAAGAGTACGTGGGGGTGGGGGCAGGGTGTTAGAAGAGTGAAAAGGTGAGGGGCTTTGAAAGCCACAGGATTTTATATTTGATTCTGAAGGTGAGGAAGTCACCTTTAGCAAGATAAATGTGACGGCTAAGTGGGGTGTGGATGGGAGTGGGGAGAGACTTGAGGCAGGCCAGGCGTGACCTGCCCCGGTGCGTATTAGAGACATGTTACGGTGGTCAAAGTAGACAGGTCTTGGCAATGGGAGGGGTGAGAGTGAGTGAGGGATTGAGGATGACACCTAGATCGTGAGCCTGGGTGACTGGTAGGTTGGTGATACCCTGGACAGTGATAGGGAAGTTTGGAAGGGGGGAAGGGTTTGGGGAAAAGAAAAGTTCAATTTTGTACAAGCTGAGTTTAATCTAAACATCGGGTCCAAAATGTCTGATAGGCTGTTGGAGAAGCAAAACTGGAGGTCACCTGAGAGGTTAAGGCTAGATTAAGTAGATCTGAGATTCATCAGCATAGAGGTGGTAATTGAATCGGTGGGAGCTGATAATTAAATGCAGGGCAGTGCAGCCCACGGAATCTTCAATCTTCCTATGCTGTCCTTCCCCAAACCTCAATAAACAAATTCTCTGCAAACATTGTTCCTAGTTCACCCCTCCCTCCTCACCTTTGCCTTGGTCTGACTTCCTTTAAAAACTTAGCCCAAATCCCACCTTCTGCAAGGTTCCTTTATTAACTTCTCTGAGCCTGCATCCCATTTACACAGTACATGTCACATTATGTAGTTATTTGCAGGTTACTTTCCCCATTGCTTGGCACAAGGTAGGCAATAATAAATGCTTGTTGAACTTACCAAATCACAGAGCTCACTTTTTAACGAGGGAGACAACCTTTGAACAATTATGTACAAACTTATCTACAGGATAAACTGGAGATAATCTGAAAGGGATGGCACTATGATGAGGGACTGGGAAAGGGACTTTAGCTGAAACATGCAAAAAGCATGGCGCACAGATGAGGGAAAAATTCCAGCTATGGGGAATAGCAGTGAAAATGCAGAATTAGGAGTATCTTGTCCAAATGTGTTGATCAAGTGCTTAATGCTTGTTGTCTAGCCCCCAGAATCAGTTTTATTCTGTCCAGTTTAAAGCCTAGTCAGGAAAGTAAGGAAGGGCTTGGACAGGAACACTTTAACACTGTTATTCCAATTACTCTTTTCCTTATATCCCACTTCAGGCGAAGCAGGTTATCTCAACATAAAGGTCCAATGAGAACTAAAAAAGAATCAGTTTAGTGGGGGGGGGGAGTCTGAAACTCGCTGTGACCTTAGGGAGCTCACTATTGTTTCCTAATCTGTGAAATGAGATTACTTCCAGTATTTCATAGACTCGTCAGGAGAAATTTGAAGTACTATAAATGTGTATGGTATTCAAGCATCACCATAGCCACAAATTGCCACAAAGGAATGTTCTCAGATGTGCATGCATAGCAACAAACAAACAACCACAGGGCTAAAATACAAGGAAACTTTTATTTTCAGTTTTTATGAAGTTTTTTTAAATGCTTTTGGTTCTTTTTCTTTTTTTTTCCTTTTTCTGATTTTTTTCCTTTTCTTTCTTTTAATTTTTTTTTTTTTGCATTTTATTTCATTCTGGCCGCTCAGTGGCTGGAGCCGCTCGGTTCCTGGTATTAAAAAGATGCCAACGGAGGTAGCTGTGTCTCGCCCAGGGGCCCGGCCCATCCGAAACCCCAACAAAAAGGAAGAAAACAAAAAATAAAATAAAAACATAAAAGAAATTTCAGATCATTTTCTCCGAGCTTGGTGAGAACCCACAAGAGTTTGTGTAACAGACGTTACAGTGGGGAAGAGGCCATGGAACCCGGAGTGGGGCTGGCCTGCCCTCTCCCTGCAGATGGCGCCGGCGCTACTGCTGCATGTCTCTGGCAGGAAGGGCGATGCAGCCCCTCACTTCCTCCCCTCCCCAAGAGACAGGGGGAGTTGTTCCTTTATAAAATGAGGAGGGGGTAGAAGGAAGAGGGACTCAAGCCCCCAAAGGAGAAGCTTGGGGGCAAGGGGGTAGAAGGGTCACTGCTCAGTGGTAAGGTGGTTATCATCAACCTGGATCTTCACTGCTGCTGGGCTACCTGTAAAGGATAGAGATAAGGACAGAGTGAGAATTCAATACTTAGATCACTACCACTCCTCCCAAGGTGAGGTGATGGGACCTAGTCAGTCACCAGGTAAAATCTAAGAAGCTACAGGTTCCATTTCACACCCAGTTTGGGAAACTGGCTCAAAAGAAGCCTACCTGCTGTGGGGTGGGTTCAGGGCCCCGGTTTGCTAGCCGGCTGAGGATGTTACGCTCTGACATCTGTAGCCGCACAGCCACCGGAGGAATACGGGCGATGGTGGCTGGCAGCCTTGTGACATCAGCCTTCATGTCACTCAACAATTCCTCCAGTTGTTTCAGAACTATAAGAAGAAAGGCATAAGGGTTGGACTGTGAGTGGATGTGGCTGAGATCCAAACCCTTCTATCAAGGGAAGCAGTTTCCCCTACCCCTCCTCTGACCTCAGGGAATAATGATCATAATGTGCTACTAGGAATAAGCTGAAAATTTAGTCTCTACTTTCTTTGTATTCTTTCATATTCTCCTTGAATCACCTTTGTTCTACTTATCTAGTTCAAAAATCCATAGATTCAGAAATGGAAGGGACTTCAGAGGTTATCTAGTTAGACCCTCTCATTTTGCAGAGGAAGGAACTAAGACTTTGTAGAGACATGTACTGATTTGCCCAGTAGTAAGAGGCAAACAAGGGATTCAAACCCAAATTCCAAGATTCCATTAGGCTGTGCTAACCCTCATTTTCTCTTGCTGCTTTTTCCACTGCTCTAAACCCTTCTATTGGACTTTACAACAACCTCTCTCTATGCTTCCTTCTAGACTACCTTTTGGAAGCCTTTTTCTTCCCTTTATCCTACCCTCTTTTGCAAAACTTTCCTACTTCAGAAAAATTTTCTCTAAAAGGGGAAAAACATAGGTCACTCCCTCCCCTCCCCCAAAAAGTTTGAAAAAACAACCATCTTTACCAGTATCTCAACAAAAAAAGAAAACCGCTAAGAGATGTTTATCTAATCCTTCCCCAAACATTCAGGCAGAATTATATCTAATGTATCCTTATCATCTCCATGACACTATACACTAAGTGACTTAAAACATCATTTTCTGATGAGAAGTGTACTGGCTAGGACTGTCTGTGCAGCTACCTAAAGGCAAACAGTAAAGCCTCAGTAGAGCACCACAGACATCCAGAAAGTCCACCAATAATGGTGTTTCAGAAACTAGAGATGGGAAGAGAGAATAAGCAGAATGGGCAGGCGAGCCACTGGCTACCTTTGTGCAGGACAGCATTAGCTGGCTTATTTCCTGCCATTGACTCCTTAGACAGGTGCTGGTGGCTCTCAGCCAAGCATTCCACCTCAGCAAAACGGGTATTGAGTGCCATGGAAGGATGGGAGGGGTCCTCTGACATGTTCAGATAAGCTGCTCGACGCAGTTGTTCCTCAATCACCAGGGCTTGTTCCAAGAGCTTGGCAGATTAGAGAGAAGGGGAAAACTAGATAAAATATTCAGTTTGCTAATGCCATCCCCACTCATGGAATGAAGTATTCTTTAAAAGAGCTATATGTATTAGTTCTTAAAGACAGTGTATTTACAGGGAGTGGAAGGGGTGAGGGGAAAAAAGGTAATAACCACTTAACCATTTATTGAATTTAACTTCAAAGTACCTGTGTCTAAAGGCACTGGGGGAGATAGTTTAATAAAGACATGGCCCTTGCCCTCAAAAAGCTTACAGTCTAATAGAGGAACTAACACTAAAGGCCCTCTTGTCCATTTTCTGTATGCTACACAAAAACTGAAGCTAGTTAACAAGAGAATAGGAAGAGTAAAATGCTTTCTTTATTAGGGAAGAAGAAATCCAAGAAGCACCTTTTTCTAATTCACACCTTTCTGTCTTGTGAGTTAGCTTCTCTTTTCTCTACTATTTCTTCACTGCAGGTGTTCTCAGGTCCCTGGGCTACAAGAGTACACTCAAATCTGTATTTCTAGTCCTGAATGTTTCCTGTGTCCCAATCTTATTTCCAAACATCTAATGGACATTTCCAATTAGATAAAAATTGGCCATGGCAATCTTAAATTCAACATAACTAAAACTACGCTTCCATCTTTCCTACAAAATGAGTGCCCATTCCTGACTTTCCTATTTCTGCTACTGATAACTATCATTTTCCTAATAACCCAGATGTGAGACCCAAGAACCATCTTTTAATCCTGCCTCTTTCTCTACCTCACCCCACCTACAACATCCAATAAGTAACTGAATTATGGTAATTATTTTTTTTTTTGTTATATCTCACATCTGTTTCATTTCCAATACTACCAATCTAGTCCAGGCCCTTATCTCCTTATACCCAAAATGCAATGTTTCCATCCCTACTGTCACCCACTCAATAGATCCAACATCCAATAGGATGTTACTGAATTAATCTCCCTAACATACTCTATAATCATGTCACCTTCCACTACTCAAAACCACTGAGTGAAGTACATATTCCTAAACTGGACAGTGAAGAACTCTATACAAAGTTGGCTCCAACCTTTCCTTGCTGACCTTATCTCTGGCCCCTAACAAAATTACTTTACTCCAACCAAATTGGTCTATTCACTGTCTGCAAAACACTTTATGTTTATTTTCTAGTTACCTTCTACAAAGATGACTCCCAAATCTTTATTCTCACCCAAATCTCTCTCATGAACTCCAATACCACATCACCAATTGCCTGCTAGACCTAGATTTGCCATCATTCTCAATCACATCATCTCTGGGGTAAAAAAACAACAACAAAAAACCTCATCATTTTTTCCTAATAAACTTGCCTCTTTCAGAACTTTCTTATTTCTGTAGGAAGTAATATCACCCTTCTGGGCAACCCAAATTTATAACCTTAGAGTCTTTCAGGATTCTTCCTTCTTTCTCACCTCCCCCACCCACCCTTTAATCAATCAGCTGTTGAGTTTTGTTGTTTCTACTTTCAGGACTTTCTTGGATTCATCCACTTCTCTCCACACACACTGGACTCATCTTTATTCCAATAGCCTAACTGTTGGTCTCCTTGGTTCCACACAACTGCCAAAATCTTCATAAAGTGCAAGCCTGATCAAATCAAAAGCTTTCAGTGGCTTCCACTGCCTCTAAGATAAAAACTCCTCAAACTGGCATTTAAAGCTCTCTACAGTTTGAGGCTACCTTTCCTGATTAGCCCACTTCACTCACCCCATGTTCCAGCTAAATTAATCTAAGCTGCTTCCCTAACTCAAGAATGTACTATGTGTGGAATGCACTTCATCATCATCACTATCAGGAGTCCTTATTTTCCTTCAAACCTCAGCTAAAGTGTCACATATACCTTGGAGCCTCCTTCGATTCTCCCAGTTGTTTCCCTCCTCAAATTTCCTAACAGTTTCTTGAGGGCAGGCAGAGTTTTATATTAGTCTTTGTATCCAAAGTGTCCAGTCACACAGTACCTTGCACACAGCAGGTGTTAAACTGAATTCAGTTGCTTCTATGCTCTTTGACTACTCCATTTCCCCTCGTTTAATGCTCCCATCTCTCCCAGGAAACTTTTCCTGGACAACTCCAGCCCAGTGCTTATTTTCTACTGAAACACCCAACAAATTCATGAATCTGAACCATCTACTTGGGATTTGATAATTAAATTCTTCTGAAGTTATTGAACATTTCATATCTTCTCTCTCTCCATATAAATTGTAAAGGCTAAGGGCAAGAACTATAGGTTACATCTGTTACCCCCCCCCCCCCCCAGTTCCTGATCCTAAGCATAATTTACACTTAGCAGGGCAAAAACAAATAATTATTTAACTAGTACCTTCACACTTTTGATTATTGCTATAAAAAACAAAGGTTACATTCCTTTCCTCCTTGCTCACCTTAAACCTTCTGGCTAGGAATTTGTTCTTTATCTCCAAGAAGTTACCACGATTCATTTCACCTTTGAAGGGCTCATTAAGAATAGCATAGCGTGGGTCATTCTGGATGTCCTGCCACCGGGCATAGCCATGGCTAAGAGAAGGATGTTCAGGAAACAAGAAACAAATAACAAAAAACAATAGGAAAAGGCAAGAACCCCAGTCACTTTGAGGACCTTTCCTACACTTTCCCAAGGGAATCTTCCTATCAACTAGAGTCTCAAAAGGCACAAAGGATACTTAATAATGCCAGCCAGCAACCAGTAGTCATGCCGCCGATGCCAGATCTCATAGGTCTTCTTTGTGACTGTGGCTGCCCGTTCCTCATTCTGCCAAAGGGAATGCAGCTCTGGAAGTAAGAGGGGTAACAAAAGGACCCTGTTGACCTGGACCTCCAAGAAGCTCCTATCTATCAACATCCCCTCCAAATCATATCCCTAATTTCCCACGATGGAACTATAGAAGGAAAAATTATAGATAAGGATAAGAAACCTTGAATGCTATCACCCTAGCAAAAAACATCTTTTCATCCTTCCCTAGTTCCTAAAAAGCAAATGACGTTCGCCAAAGAACCCTCTTAAACTTCCATGATCATCAGTACCAGTAAAGCCGCCATCTGCAATGTTGAACATAAAACGCTGCTTGATGTTCTTCTTTTGCTTCTCATCACCCAGGTCCTTGGGAGTCTCCCCATTCTGAAGCATCACTTCTTTTTTCTCTTCTTCTTCTTTCTTCTCCTCTGAAGGATATATGTGGAAGAAAGATCAGCCCCAGACAGGCTCCTAGCCCATGGATCCAATGTACAGCATGTAGTCACCCTTAGCCAGGTCACTCAAACCCTCTTTTCATATACAATACTTGAACAGATATCTCTTATCAGTCTCTGTAACAAAGATTTTAAAGCAAACACGAGACTGTCTCCATCTCTCAAACTACTGATTTAAATTTGAATTTCTGATGTCATAGTCTTAGCCTAAATTATCTTCTCTAAATACCTACCTTTGTCTTCTACCACAATTGAGGTCAGATCCACTGCCGATTTCTCCTCTACCTTTTCTGTTTCAGCAACACCTGGCAAACAAATGAAGCTGAAAGTGTAAGCTAAAGAAATAACACCTCCCCCATACCACACACTTTATTGTGACCCAAATGGAATAAGCAGTCCTAATCCTCAGCCTCTACAAAGGTAGAGAGCTAAAGAAAATTCTCTGGACTCCTCTCTCTCACCCACCCACCCACCCCTATTTTGGTGAAGTAAGGTTGGTGTGTCCTATATTTTTTTAAGATAATATTCCCCCATACTCAAGACCTCTCTACCTCTATAACCTGGCTGAAAGCCAAGACCTATGTTGGTGTATCCATGGTCTTCAGAAATTCTGATACCTTTGGTTTCTGTCTCCATGGTCTCCTCAGTCTTCTCTTTGACTTCTGGCTTATCCACCTTCTCTTCTCCCTCCAGAGGCTCAACCAGAACCTTTTCCTCTTCTGGGTTAGATGCAGAGGACTGTGTGCCCTTAAAAAAACAAACAAACAAAAAAAAACAAATAGGGTAGGTAGCAACAAAGGAAGTGAGGATTTAAGTCCATTTTCCCTGGGGTCAACATCATTAGCAATTTGCTACCCATTATCACCACAATTTTTACCTCCACAGATGTCTCAGGAGCTGCAGGTTTCACTTCTCTCTCTCCCTCTGTGTTCTCTTCTTCTTTGTTATTCTCCTCTGCTTTTACCCCCTCATCTACAAAGAAACAAAAGTGGGACTAGGGCCCTAGACCTGGCTGAAAGGTCTATTCTGATGTACATGTAATCAATGATCCTTATTACCCTTTTCTTGGTGAAAGCTTAAAAATCATTTAAGTGAGGTCACATTTATTCTAGTAGACCATGGCCTGTAGACCACTGGATTGATTATATATTGTGTGTAGTTTTTGTAATACAAAAGATATTTTGTCTTAGAATACAGATTTTTTTGGGGGGAGGGGGAAGGTGAGTAGGGTAGGAAACTCTCTATCTCACTCAGATTGAAAATGCAGTTTCCCCTCACAGGCCCCAATCCCACTACCAGCATGGAAGCTTTGATCTCTTCCCATTCAACCCTTAGGCTACCTAGTGTCCCTCCTACTTCCCAGGTTTTCATTCCATTCTCACTTAGTACAGCTTTAAAATACTTTGAAGTTCCCTTCAGCTTTAGCCCTAGTGAAGCTCAGAATTCCCAATCAAGAGCCCCACCAGCCTCAACCTTCCCCTATTACCAGAGAGTACGAAATTGATTTTTTTTAAATGCTCAAAAAAGGGTAAATTCTAAAATATATTAATTCTTAAGAGATTAAAAATCCCATCATATCAAACGTAAAATGCTCTAAAGTTGATACTTACTAACAACATGTATTAGGCAAATTGGTCTGATTTCACTTCTACTATTTAAAGTGTCCTCTTGTGCCTTTAAGAGTCAGCCCCATCTCAGGGCAGCCCTCCTAATCTGAGAGGATGGTCTGCTCTTAGTCCTGCCTTTGGCCCTCCTGCCACAGTGGCAAGCAGGAAAGCAATAATAAGCATGGACTTGAGGGAGAAGGGAAAAGGAAAAAAAGCCAGACTTACCAGGGGGTGGTACAGGTGCAGGAGTGTTGGGTTGTGTGTCTCCTGGAGTGGAAGGTGTGGGAGTTTTAGGGGAAGGTGATCCTGGCTGTGACATCTTCTTGTTCTCTTCTACTTCAGCCAGCTCAGGCATGCTCCAGCGCCCATTGACATGCTCAAACTCCTGAACCTGTAGCATTTTGGAAAAGAGGGTAAAAACCTTGCCTCGAGCAATGAGAGCCCTTTTCCCATGGGATGTCAAATTTTCTCTCTGGGTTATCTGTCACAGCCTTCTCAAATTCATGACAGTCTCAAGGACATTTGTCCCCCTCTCATTCCAATATATAATATCCTTTTGCCACTGTTAGTCCCACTGCTCTACCCTCTCAATGGACTACCAGTTCCTGCCCTCAGCCCATGCTATCCTGTTTGATGAGAGCTCATTTCCAGGACAGTCCCACTATGCCAACTATGTTTCAAAGATATCTTCCTGCAGTGCTACAGTAAATACAATCCCTTGCTCCCATTCCACCTTACTGTATGTGATAATCAATATTACCATTGTTCTGTGAAAGGGTATGGCAATCAGATTGCCCTATGGCTTTACCCACAATACATGTGATCTCCCAAAAACCTAAACTCCCTTTCCTATCTACTAATACATTATGTGTGTTTGTTTCCCTTAGATTTATAAGTTCCTTGAGAGTAGGGGCTCTTTTTTATCCATGTCTTTAGTACTTAATTCAGAGCAAATGCTTAATATATGCTTTTTCATTCATTCATTCATTCATTCATTCATTCATTCATTCATGGTTAAGTAGTTAGGGCCACACCTTTTTTCGGATGAGTGACATAACACCAATACGTGTAAGGACATGCTGGCGGGACAAGCCCTCACGGGGGACACCATCAGCAAAGGTCTCAGCTCCATCTGCTCCTGGCTCACAAAGGTGACGCATAAACAGAGACACATAAGCCCTAGTAAAAAGATAGAAAAGACAGTTTAATAGGCAAAGTGACATTCTGCAGAACAAATCACCCAACAGCTCCACTTGGGCACTAACTTCTAACAGTTATTTACTACTCCCTAATACGGCAGGCAGAGCTCCACATAACAATTCATGTTCTAACCCTAGCAGAGATCTTAGCTTAATGATTTTCTATCAACAATTGCTGTGGTTAACAATGGTTATGGACACACAAAGGAGTATCCCCTACCCCACGAGAACTCTACTGTGGAAGTACTCAGCAAGATATAACCCTGCCCTGACCCACACTTTTCTCCAAACTTTCACTCACTTGAACTCTTTCTCTGACTTGCCCCTCAGGTCCCGCACAAGCCATTGGGTAGTAAAGGCATCCTGAGGAGGCATCCCATAACGCATAATGGCATTGAGGAAAGCCTTCCGCTGGCGGGCATTGAAGCCAAGTACCTGAGGAAGAAGGTGCCTAGGTGAGGAAGAAAGTAGGTTTCTTCCTATGATGGATATTACACACCGACCTTCTCTGAGACTACCTTTTCTCATAGGTGGGTGGTGTTTTCCATTGCTTACCTCAATGTTTCCACCAACACGAGCCAACAATGGAGGCAATGGTTTGTCCTTATCGTTTCGCAGGCCCTTGCGGCTAGGCCGTCTGGGAGCTACAAGGAAAGAGGAGGGAGCATAGGGAAAGTGCATGGGTGAATAGTAATGGTAGGAGCATTAGTCATTCTTTATACCCTAGATATCCAGCTGGGAAATATAACCCTCACCTTCTGAACGTTCATCAAAGTCCTCATCGCCTTCCTCTGAGGCCACTGAGTAGTCGGACTGATTGTCTGACTGGTCATCCTGCCAATCTGGAGGGAGAGAGGGCAGATGAGCGGGGCCCACGGCCCTAGGGGAGCGGCCCAAGGGCAGGGGATGGGGCCGGCCAGACACACCTCGATCCTCCTGGGAGCCATCGTTGTAGTTGACCTGCTTACGGATTCGCTTCCCTTTGCCTAGGTTTCGGGCCAGATCCTCCTGCTGCTGCTCATAATGATGTCGCAGCAGCTTCTCCCAGTAGTCAGGATCCACACTTTCTTCCTGCTTGATGATCTCTCGTTCTACTTCTTCTTCCTCCTGAGACAGATGGAATCAAAACTCAGGGTGGGGTAGGGGTGGTCACCATCACCATTCTACATAGGGTCTCAAAGTTCATATACCCCCTTGACATTTAAAATATTTATCCTCAGAATAATAAGATAGTGCCATATCTGGTTGGGCTTAAGTTTTCAAAGAAACTCAACTAACAAGACACCACACTTTTCATTCTACGTGTTATAGTGTAGATTAGTAGACAAGGACATAAATATGGTAGAGTATCAACAGAGATACGAAAATTCATCTTCAATGTTTTCAAATGCGTACCAGACTAAGACAAAGCAAGGTAAGAGAGTAGAAAAGGGAAGTCAGACATTTAATGAAGCAGAGTGGATAGCAAGAACAGGTAGCAGGAATTTCCACTAAAATTTGTAGTACATAAGCTCCCTGAGGACAAGAACTGTTTCATTTTTGTCTCAGTATACCCACTGCCTAGCACAGGCTAGGTTGTTTAATAAATGTTGCTTGAAACGCTTTAATAAATGTTTATTGAAATAAAAGTCACAAGCATATTTAGATAGAACTTTGCCATCTATTTACATATGCTTTGTAAACCCCCAAATCCTTATTACTATGTCCAAATGTTTGTTCCCCTACAAAGTCATTTAAAATTCATTATTTTTCACACACTAATGACCAGAGGTTCAGGATCCCTTCCCCTAGATTCACCAACACCAGCAACAACCAAGTATTTTTTACAGTTCTTTACACACATGTAACATGAAGTGTCCAATAGGGCTTTTATGCCTCAGGCACACAGTAACATGATCTTCCAAGTACTTCCATAATGCATACTTCAACAAGAACACAGATCCAATAATTGTGGGTATTACCTTCAGCAGACTAGATTGCAACCCACTGATGCCCTTTCATACTGTGCAACTTGTTCATGACCTCCTATACTTCTTCCACAGGAGAACTCAACCAATGAGCTGAGATTCTTTTACCAAACCTCCTGATGTACATGAACATTACTAGAGCTCAAAGGCTACCAGTTATACTTCACCATCACTACATGGCTCATCTACCTCCTAGTCATATATCCTCTGCATGCTATTCCTTATTCCACTTCCCCTATGCCATTCTTTGGTGATAGGCTTCATACAGACTATTTATATCCACCACTGCCCTATTCATGACCAAAATTCTAATTCTTTGGGGCCTTTGGTTTTCCATTACTGACAGCCATACATCACATACTGTTTTAAATATAGATCTTTATTTCAAGAAACACAGAATCATTAAAAGCAATGCACAATTTCTCAAGTACAACCCAGCCGTCTCTCCTTCAACATTCAATTATGAACAAAATGCGTTGTTCATCCACAATATTTGTGTGACATATGTACTGATGGGTTAGTTCTATAGACTTTCCATTCAACTGTATAAATCTAGACAATAGATTTCTTTTATCCACCTGGTTCCTTATCTGGGTAGTTAGGCCAAATTTGAGTTATTATGGCTCTCATTTAGGAGATTATGCAACATTCCTAGGCAGATGCTCTAGGAACACTGGGAGAATCTCAACATGTCTATGAAATAATCCCTCTTCCATTCTGACTCCATGCTAGATATTCTCCATGATTATGGAAAACATTCACTAAGTACATATCTTCCTATGTTTTCTGTCCTACTTGTTGGTAATAAGCAGAAAGTCAAATAAATTTGTCATTATGGATTTAAAAGGATCTTATGTGATTTTAAAATTCATCAGAGATAGGGATTTCCTTTAGGAGGAAAATCTTTACCTTGATATTTTATTCTATCAAATCTTCTTAATAGTCAAGAAATAAATACAGTGGGGCTCTTACACATTTCTGCACTTTTCAAATGACTGGGTAACTGTAAAGATATGGTCTACTACAGAATGTCATTTTGGAAAGTCTGATTGTTCCCTACCATTTTCATGAATGACTTATCTAGGATGACCTAGATAAGTTTATAAGCTATTTTCTAAGAATTTGTAGAGATGCAGATATAAGCATATAGATTGACAGTAACTAATGCTTTCTTAATTGCATTTTTTCAGCAATAAGGTCCATGATTTCCCCCCCAAGAATTTGGTAATGGGAAGGAAAAACTGTCAATGTACAGCCACACAAAGCTAGATACCACAGAGTAGCTACATTGTAGGAAGAAAAAGAATAGCAGTAGAGATAACCCTACAAGTTCACAGGAATATAAAACTCTAAGAAAAGAGCCTGTAATTAAAACCCATGGCTTCAGATGTCTTTACAGAAATGTACAAAGTATGGGTAACAAACAAGGTAAATCAGATATCCTAACACAAAGAGGCTAATTTGACCTCATCATAAGAAACTTGGTGAGATGAGGTCCATGAATACAATATGATTCTGGAAGGATATGCCTGATTCAACACAAAATCTCATCATTGCAGGACCTCAGTAACCATCTAGTTTAATCCACACCTGGAAAAGAATCTTCACTACAACATACCTCACAAACAGGCACCTAGCTTCCACTAGATGACTTCTGTGGCAGGAATCCACTACTTCCCAAGACAGTCCTATCCATTCTAGTAAAATGGTGGAATGGAATAGTATTATATATTAAAATGTAATCCTATAAAGAAAACCAGGGCCTAGACAAAGGAAAATATATTGTAGATAATATTTGGGTGAAGAACAGAGAAGGCAAAGAATATAAACACATAATTTTCAAAAGAAAAATACAAACTACTACCAGTCATGTAAGAAAACCACATTAATAACAGAAATCCAGATTTTATAAAATTGGAGATTTCACCTCATATCCATCAAACTGGTAAAAATAATGAATGATGAACATAGTCAATGGGGAAGTCAGGCATACAAATAAACTGTTCAGAGAAACATGAATTGGTACAACCATTCTAGAAAACAATTTATAATAATTACGCTGAAAGTCACTAAAATGTTTATAACTTTCAACCCACTAATGGCACTACTAGGCATATACTCCAACGAGGTTAACGTCAGGAAGAAAGGACCACTGTATGCCTAAAAAATTCAACCCAGCACTTTTTGTGGTACGAAAAGATGAGAAACAAAATGAATACCCATCAAGTGGACAATGGATGAATAACCCATGGCATATGAACACAATGCAATGTTATTATCCTTTTAGAAATGATAAATGAAGAATTCAGAGAAATAGGCAGGCTTTTGTGAAATGATGTAAAGTAAAAAGAGCAGAAACAGAACATACACTATGACTACGATAATGTAAATTAAAACATTAAAAGATTAAATGCAATGATCACCACTAGTTCCAGAAGACAGATGAAAAAAAACATCTGCAGACTGGAGGCAAGAATATACTATGGCTATGGAATATGATGACAGAGTTGATATCTTGCTTAACTGTTTTTCTTTGTTACAAGAGAGGTGTTTAAACAGGTAGCAGAAAATTATTGTGGTGTAAAAAAACAAAGAATTTTTTTGCCAAAAGTTCCCTTCACTAAGGAAAATGCAGATCTAGAGAAAGTATTCATTTATGATATATAAAAGACTATCTAATCTATGAATCTTTGACCTTGTTGCTTTTTACTACTAGAGCTGAATTTTTCCATTATTTTTTGCTGTCACCCCCAATGTCCACTTCTACACTAACATCACCAAATATGTACTAATTCTGAGAGAGGAAAAGGACCCATATGTACAAAAATACAAGTGGAGGTAGGAGGGAGAAAAAATAGATTTGTTAGTTGAAAAAGCAAAATAAAATTTAGTAACAATAAAAAAAACCCACTAAGTATACATACAGATTTTTAAAGTATCAAATAGATAACTATATACATATCTATATATATAAAATGTATAGTGATCTATAGATCACCTGTTCAGAATGAGATATTAGACACAAGTTCAAGTATAACCTAAGAGAACACCTGACAGGTCTAAGAGGCAAGTACTGTATTTATCCAGACATCTGCTGTAACTTTTTCTGCCAAAGGCCAAGTAGTTAATATCTTGACTTGCCTTGATGATAATTTTATTCTTTAAAAGCTTGAGAAAACCAACAAAGGAAAATTCTATTCTCACTAATAAGGAAGAACTTGCTTGGACAGAAATGATAGGAACCTAGAGAATAGACGATAAAAATTACTGATCCCTACCTCTTAGTAGATAGGGGACTAAATGAGTGGAATGCTACATATGCTGTAAGACAAGGTAGTTTTTAGGGGCAGCTAGGTGGTGCAGTGGATAGAGCACCAGTCCTGAAGTCAGGAGGACCTGAGTTCAAATCCAGCCTCAGACCAAACACTTGACACTTATTAGCTGTGTGACCTTGGGCAAGTCACTTAACCTCAATTGCCTTAAAAAAAAAAAAAAAGAGAGAGAGAGAATGAAGTTTTTGGTAATTGTTTTTCTTTGCTGGAAGGGACCTCAGTGGCCATCTGGTCCAATCCATGCTTGTGTCTTGGGGAAACGACTCCTACTTCAACATATCTTTTTTTTTTTCCTTTTTAGGCAATTGGGGGTAAGTGACTTGCCCAGGGTCACACAGCTAGTATGTGTCAAGTGTTTGGTCTGATGCCAGATTTGAACTCAGGTCCTCCTCACTTCAGGGCCAGTGCTCTATCCACTGCGCCACCTAGCTGCCCCCTATTGTTTTTCTTTGTTAAAAGGCAGAGGAGCAACCTGGAAAAGATTGGGTGTGTATATTTAAAAAAAAAAAAAGGCATAGATACAGTGTTTTTAAATGCAATACTTTTTTTTAAAGTAATGATGGAACTTTTGGGAAAAAAGACTATTCCATCTTAGAATGTGATATAACAGGAAAACCAGAAATAGTCTGATTTTGAAAGAAAAAATTCCAAAAGCTTCAAAGAAAGAATAATTAGCAGACCATGGACTAAAATTTCATAGGAAGAAAGGTCCCGTATTTACCAAAATATTCAATGTAGCAATTCTTTGTAGCAGTAAATGACTAGAAACAAAATGAATACTCATCCACTTTCCAGTCATCAGCCCAGGAAGGAGAGAAAGCTCTAGAGAAAAAAAAAAAACAAAACCAACTTTCTAGGGACATAGGGAAACAAGTCCTATGGGGAAAAAAAATGGGGAGCTATCTATGGAGACCAATGTGGATGAAGAGGGAACTCACCAACCATTTTAAATTTCTGAAGACACATAAAGAAGATGTAAACAAGAGCAGGTAAAAGAAGATGAATACAAAAGTGTAGCACAGTCCCGTAAAAAAATAGTATTAGGAGTACCAAGGCAAAGAATGAAGCAAAGCTCTCAGGGTAAGTAAAGTGCAAAAATCAAAGCCTTTCTTTTAAGTATATTGGAAGGGAAAAAGAATTATTGGGGTTACTGCTCAGGGTGGATCAGACAATAACAGAAAACAGAAAAAAGGCAGAGCTGCTCTGTCCCTGTTACACTTCTATTTTTTCCCTCTGCCAAGGAGAATAATCACTGGAATGCAAAGGACAGAACAAAAGTGGCTAATGGAGAGGGGATACCCAAGATAAATAAAGAGATAGGAAGACAGCATCTTTGCCTTGATGAGTTCAATTCCCAGGACACACTGTATTCCAGGGCACTGAAAAGAGCTGGGGAATGTAACTGCTGAACCACTGTCAATGTTCTTTGAAAGATCACAGAGAACAAGAGAGAGGTACAACATCAATGATTTTCAAAAAGAGAAAGAAGTCTGCAAACTACAGGCCAGTGGGCTTAACTCCAATTTCTGGCAAAATTCTAGAACATACTGTGAAAAAAGATGGCGGGACCATTGAGAAAAGAGAGCAGCAAGCACAAAGACTGGACTGACTTCATCAGGAACAAGTCATGCTAGACTAGTCATATTTCCCTCTGTGACATGGATACCAACCGGGTAATCAAAGCAATGTTGTAAATACTTTGCCTAGGTTTTGGCAAAGTAGGTTATAAAATTTCACCTTCTATTCTTGTAGGGAAAAAAATGGGGAGATTTGGTATAAACAACAGTAAAATAAAGTAGATTCAGAACTGGCTGAATGGCTAAACCCCAAAAGTAGCCATTAATGGTACATCAGCTGGGAAGGCAACATCCAGTAGAATGACTCCAGAATTTATGTTTGATCTTGTGTTGTTCAACAATTTTAAAGAAATAAAGATATAGCTGGCATGCTTATCAAGTCTACAACTAACACAAAGTTGAGAATAGCTAAAATACTGAGGGCAACAGTCAAGATTCAGAAAGATCTTGGACAAGCTAAAACAGTGGGCTGAATCTATTAAGATGATGATTATAGGGATAAATGTAAAGCATTAACACTGGTTCAAAAAACCAATTTTGTAAGTACAACACAGTAAACGCATGCTTAAGCAGCAGTTCATTTGAAAAAGACTAGGGACCCTTCATGGAGATGGACATGGAGGTTCACAGGTATTACACACTGCACACGTTTTTAGAATTTCTCAATGTTTCAATCAGTTTTCTGACTTCTTTTTTCTACTTTTAAAAATACCATTCACTTTATGGGATAGCTCTCTGAAAGGGGGAGAGGCACTGGGATGATATAAAAAACAAAAAATATCAATAAAGAAAAAGAAAAATATTGGGGGTGGCTTAATGAATAGCAAACTTGACATACATCAGCAATGTGATATGGCAGCCAAGAAAGTTAACTATAGCTAATATGCTGCATTAAACAGAAGTATAGTGTCAAGGACCAGGGATAGTCTCACCAATTTCTACCATAGTCAAACCATATCTGGAGTATTAATGTTCATTTCTCAGTGCACATTTTATAAACACTAGTAAACTGCAAAGTATATCTAAGAAGGCAACCAGGATAATAATTAAGGGCCTCAAAAAAATGCCACAAAGGATCCCTTAGACAACTATAACCCTCTCATCTTATAGATGAGAAAATCAAAAGGTTAAGTGACTTACTTTCCCAGGATTACACAGCTAAAAAGTACACAAGGCCGCATTTGAACTCAGGTCCTCCTGACTCCAGGATCAGTGCTCTATCCATTGTGCCATGTAGCTGCCCCTTCATCGTCTATTCTTTTATCTTTACCCTATTATTATTCTGCATCAATAGCAATTTTAAATAGGTCGGACTGGAATTACCTCAAATGTATACCACATGTTCTCATTGAGAATTGATTTCTATACTTCTTGTAACAAATCACTACTTTTGACTGTGTACAGGCAGTTTGACACAATGGTAACCAGTTTCTTCTTATCAGTACATAATAAATTTTATTTTTTGGTTTTGTCATTTGGCCCCAGTCATATTCATCACATACAGACAGACTCTCTAGTTGAGGAGAGACAGTATTCATGACAGTGATGCAAGAGATTTTTGCAACAACTACAAACCTTTGGTCTCTGTCTTTTTTTGGTTGTTCTCTTTAAACATGTTGTCAACATTTTTTTTTTTTTTGCCACCCTCCCCATAGCACCAATTTGCTCTATCCTCCACTACTATGCCACTGTCATTGTAGAAGCAGGATGACAACCAGGCCTGAGGTTCACTTTGTATTTTTCCTATGGCCAAAGAATTCATCAAAAAGTATCTCACCTCCTCGCAATGAGCTTCTGCAAACTGAAGCCAGCCTTGAAAAGACATGATTATGCTTCAAGTCTTTCTAATATGGTAGAACCTCACAATGTTTACTTTCTCTGGCTTAACATTTGAAAACCTCCACACTACATAAGGCAATGGAGTAGGCTATCAGTGAATATCCTTCAGAAGCAAATGGATTAAGAAGAAAACAGAGGAGACAGAGAATTAAGAAGACTGGCAAGAGCCACCAAAAGCCTGATGGGACAAAGGTCAGTTTAGACAACCTGAATTTAAGAATAGAGAAATTTACACCTGAAGAATGGATTCTTCCCCATTCTAAATACCACACTATTCCTGATTTTCTGGTCCCGGATTTCCCATTGTCACTTACCCCCATTTCCTCTTCCCGCACCACATACTGGGCCACCTTGAAGGAGCTCAGGTATTCATTCATGCCTTGAAGTTCTGTGTCTTCTGTTTCATCCTGATTTCGATCCAGTAGTCGCTCTATGGCCTTGTCATCATAGTGGATAACACTACTGTCTTCTCCTTCCTTATTGTCTCCTCCTATGAGAAAACAGTATCCCATGTGGAGCACCAGGAGGTATTTGGTGGAACACAATGAGTCAAAAAATTTAAGTTACTTTCTCCTGGAAGATCTATCACTCCAACTCCCACAAATACTCTCTAACACTGTATACTAAGCTAAAAGACTCAACCAAATCCTTACCTCCATCAGTGGCTTCATCCTTGAATAGTTCCTCAGTACCAAACTTGAGGATATCATCAAGCTCCTGCTTGGACATGGAGCCAGTCTTAGAGCCTAGGCCAGGCCTTACTACAAGATGCGTAAGCATCATCTTCTTCTTTGCCACTTGTGTGATGCGCTCCTCTACTGAAGCACGGGTCACAAAACGGTAGATCATCACTTTCTTATTCTGACCAATGCGATGGGCTCTGCTAAAAGCCTACAGGAAGTTAGGAATAGAAGAAAAAACTGAATATCTATAACCTTGTTTCCCTGATCCACTGACACTCGCCTCTGGACTTCTAACCACATCAAAGTACCAATGCCTGTAATGCTTCCTGTTGTTGAGATATCAATCTTCCCAACCTAGATGCTAGAATAAGATGGAATTGAGGCATTGTTCCTTGAAAGCATGACCACTACGCCCAATCTCTTACTCACAAAAAAATTAAAAGTTATGAAAAGTAAAACTTCTGTTTTCCATTCATTTAGGCATCAACTCATAAAAGGTAGGGGACCCTTTACATAAACAAACAGTATCAATGCTCATCACTTTTGAGTCTGATCCTGTTCACCTGGATGTCATTATGGGGGTTCCAGTCAGAGTCATAGATGATAACAGTATCTGCAGTAGCCAGATTGATTCCCAGGCCCCCAGCTCGAGTAGAAAGAAGAAAGCAAAACTGCTGAGCACCAGGTGCTGGAAAAAAAGAAAATAAAAAATGCCATTTTAAATATCCTTCTGAAATAATCACACACACCTTTTAAGCCAGAGGTAAACTCTGCATTTCCTTCCCTACCCAAAAATTTCCCCTGTGGCAGGTATAAATGGGAAAACTTAGGTGTAGAAAAAAGGAAGTGACTACTCAAAAGACAAATCTGACGGTGTTTTGGTTTATCCCCTTTCTTCCAGTACATACATATATGTATCCCAACTTCTTACCATTAAAGCGGTCAATGGCCTCCTGACGCATGTTCCCAGTAATTCCCCCATCAATTCGCTCATACTTATAACCTTCATGTTCCAAAAAATCCTCTAACAGATCCAACATCTTAGTCATCTAAGAAGAGAATATATTTGATATACATGAGTTGAGTTCTCTTCCCACTAAGAACCATCTCTTCATCTAACTCTCCTATACTTTAACCCAACACACTGGATACCTGTGAGAAAATGAGCACACGGTGGCCACCCTCTTTGAGGTTCTTGAGCATTTTCTGCAATAAAAGTAGCTTCCCTGATGCTCGAATTAGGGCACTGCCATCATACATCCCGTTGGGCATCTTTGGTGCTTCCTAGAATAAAAGGTAGGAAAGAAAAATAAAATGGAAGACAAGGAAGCAATTCAGATGACATTAAAAAAAAAATAGAAGTTTCAAGACATACCATGGCAGCTACAGGGAAGAGGTAAGGGTGGTTACAGCACTTTTTGAGATCCATCACCACATTAAGTAGGGAAACCTGATTGCCACCACCCCGAGCATTGAGTGCTTCAAAGTTTCGGGTTAGAATGTACTTGTAGTATTTCCTGCAGACAGAACAGAAAGTCATACTACCAAACTTCAAGACAACTCTAAGGTGTGGTTATCTTCCCTTCTTTTTGGGGAACCCAGAGAATTTTTAAAAATCCTAAGTTTAGAGTCTAAAAGTAATTAGGTTGAACCTAAAAGACCATAAGATGACTTGCAAACTGCTTAGAACTTGACTAAAACTGGAAAAAAGGCACTGGTACTGATAGTATCTTCAGGCCCCACTTGTTCCCTACCACCAGATGCCCCAGAACTGGAATACTCCTAGAATGGAGCAAAGTGTGGATATTAGACATATTATGGGGGACAAGCAGATTTTCTTAGATATTTTTGGTGGACTTAGTGTTTCTCTTGTCCCTTCGAGGAACATTCCTCCAACTCACTTCTGCATGGGGCTCAGTTCCACACGCACAATCAGCTCTGTCTTGGAGGGCATGTTCTTGAAGACATCAGCTTTAAGTCGCCGCAGCATATGAGGTCCCAACATGTCATGCAATTTCTTGATCTGGTCCTCCTTGGCAATGTCAGCAAACTCCTCTAGGAAACCCTCCAGGTTGCTTTATCAAGAAAAAAAGGAAGTTTATCAGAGAATGGGAAAAAAAAAAGATGGAGAAGTATGTGATAAACAGGAAAAAAAATAAGGGTACAGAGTAGAATGGATATGAGAAACGATGTGCTGAAATGAAAGAATACTTACTGGAACCTTTCTGGAGTGAGGAAATTAAGCAGGTGGAAGAGCTCCTCTAAGTTATTCTGTAGAGGAGTTCCTGTTAGTAGTAACTTGTGCTGGAGGGAGTAGCCATTGAGGACCCTGAAAAACTAGTAGGGCAGAGGAGAAAGGTAAGAGGGAAAGGAAAACAGATCATTTCCTGCCAACTATGAGCCCCAGCATGACTCCAGAGAATCCCAAACTGGCCCTTCAGATTCCCCACCTTCAATAATCAATAGCATCTAACAAAAGAGGCCAAAGACTTTGCTTACCTTAGACTGATTGTTCTTAAGCCTATGAGCTTCATCCACAATCAGGCAGGCCCAATCAATGGAGCCCAGAATGGCCATGTCAATGGTGATCAGTTCATAGGAAGTCAGCAACACATGAAACTTCACAGATGCTTCCTTCTGCAAAGGAAAGGGGCCCAATACTGATGCTTAGCCCCACTATTGTGAGCAGCATCTTCCAGATACCAGGGCATCCCTTTTGCTTTATCCCAAGGGAATAGGCTTGGCCAGAAAGGGCTATTCCTCCCTCTTGATAGTTTCCCTCTGAGATACCTTCATTCTTGAAGCCTTCTTGCCACCACGGATAGCATTGTCTTCAAAAGAGAACTCATTTTCACGGATAATGGCACGACTATCCTTGTCCCCAACATAGGTTACCACATACATGTCTGGAGCCCACATCTCAAACTCTCGCTCCCAGTTGATGATTGTAGAGAGTGGGGCACTCACTAGGAAAGGGCCTTTTGAATGACCCTGGGGTGGAAGAGGGAGGAGAGAAGAGTTTAGGTCCTTATACTACCCATGTCTATAAACCACTCTATACACTATAACTCCCCAACCTCCCTGCCAAGAATCTGAAAAAGAACAAAAAGGGCCAGCATCAGTTTTCAACCTTCTCCCCTCCTAAACTGTTTTGACCCTCCTTCAAAACTTTCCATGGGGCCTTCTCAGACTAATCCCTCCCACAGGTCTGATCAAATTGGCATACCTGTCCTGCACAGATACTGACATAGCTCTGTCTGCCATTAGTTACACTTTGTTGTGTAATAATTTTTTCTTTCTTATCTCCCCCATTATACCAAATTCTCCAAGAATAGGAATTAGTCTCCTCTCCTACCTCAGCACTAAGTAAAAGGCTCTGCAATACATGAATATAGTTTTGAGAAGACAGAAAAAGTTAATTAATAGGACATGCTCTTTCTCACCTCCTTGTACAAAGAATAGAGGAAGACAGCTGTTTGAACAGTCTTGCCCAGGCCCATTTCATCTGCCAAGATGGTGTCAGTGCCCTGGGCCCAGGAGAAGCGCAACCAGTTCAATCCCTCCATCTGATAGGGATGTAAAGTACCACCAGTGGCATCTAAGTACTCAGGCTGCCGCTCATACTTCACTGTTGGCTGAAAGAAAAAATAGTGGGAAGTCAGAAACTGGCAGGTGATGGCTTATATTCTAAGAAGACAAAACTGACTTTGTAATACTAAGTGTCTTTTCCAGCCCACTTACCTATCAACAAGAAAGCCTATGCAAAGGATCCTTAGAAGTGAGTATTTCCCCTCTGCCCTTGTCCTAACCTCTTCCTCTTGGTAGAATGGTAACTAACCCACCAAACAAAGGGAGGTTTTAGTATTAAAAGATTTTCAGGAAAACAAACTCTAGTGTTCCTCCGTAATTTAATAATCTCTTAAGTCATAGAATTCTCCAAACTAAGTAAACCTATTTATACCACATATCTTCCTAAGGTTCACTGTGACAACTTTCCTGTCTATTCTCCACAACAGAACACCAGAGAGGAAAAGAGCCTTGGGATGAAGATCAGGAGTAATGAGATCTAGGCTCAACTCAACAAAGGACATATAAATATGGGCTAATGATGTTATTAATATATGTAAAAGTAAACCTTTTCATTTGATCCTCATAAACACTGAGTAAGGCAGATAACTAATAGGTATTAACACTCCCATTTTACAGATGATTAAAAAAAAGAGCTAAGAGACATTAAGTGATTTGCCCACATTACACAGCTAAATGTCAAAAGGCAGATTCAAACCCAAGTCTCTCCTGACTCCAAGTGTAGCACTCTTTCCATTAATACCATGTTACTTTTCTTCAGACTTTTTTTCATGACCTTAAGCAAACCTTTCATCCTCCCCTGCCCCCTTTTCCACCTCTATGCTTTAGTTTCCCTGCTAGCTGGAATGAGAGGAAACAAAGCCCTCTCTGATTCAGAGGTATGATGAAGGGAGGAAAAGGAGACTTACTAAAACAATTAGAGCTAGAGAGAACAGGTCATTATTTATAGCACTGCTATCAAATGAAGCACGGCCTGGATGGAGACAAGATCCATCTCCCACCTAAATAAGTCATTTCCTCTTCTCTGTCACAACTCACATCAACTGTAGGGGTTTCAGGGGGCCTCTCCAACTTCCTCAGCTTAACCTTCTTGAGCTTTTTGCCAGGACGTCCTTCCTCACCCCGCATTAGCTCCCTAAAGAAGAGATAGCATTAGATGCCTAGCCTTCCAATGTCCCTTCTCTCCCACTCTGAAGCCACTCAAATACTCACCTATGATTCCAGTAGCTCTGCTTGAAGAGGTCATAGTCTTGCACCTCTACATCCTCACTCTCCCAGGATGCCTGATCATAGGGCAAGTCCCTCCACTTGATCAAATAGTGAACATGACCCTTTTTATCCACACTGTGGCACCAAAGAAAAAGAAAGAATTGTCAGAATAGGCAACTCTATTTCTTCAGGTTCTTGAGGTAGACAGACCTGAATAACAAATACTGCAAACTAGGAAATCGAACTCTGCCTCCAGGGTTATAAGCTCTTGTCTTCAGATCAAGAGCAATATCCCCCCTGCCCCTTTCCTCTCCTAACAGCTCAAACACTAATATTCCTTTAATATTAATCACACACCTATTTTGTACAAGACACTGACAAACTTTCTATTTGCTCAGTCTCAGTAACAGAAAAAAGTGAATCCTAATTCTCTTTCACAGACATCTTATCCCTCCACCCCTGCCAATCCCAGTGACCCCTTAAGGCCAAGGCTGTCTCTGTGACAACCACAAGCTTTACTGGTACCTGTGGTTGAGGATTCGATGAATCATCATCCACTCAGGTTTAATCCCATAGCGGTAGAAGCGTTCCTCCATTTCTGCAAACTTGGGGTCTTTGTTCTTTCGCTTACGGCTTTTTTCTTCCTCCCCACCAAAGTCTCCAGATGGTGGTTCATCCATATCATTCTTACGCTGGTAGTTGCGGAACATCACTTGGCAGTGAAGCTCCAGCTGGCAATAGGGGAAAAAAAAAAGTAGGTATCAAATGGGATATTATCCTTTAGGAATATTACCTTTTCCCTTAACTCCTGTACTTCATCTCACTCATCCAGCCTCTTTCATGAGGGCTTACCTGTAGTTCTGACACCCAGGAACAGTGCCAGTAGGACATGCCTTGCCACTTCACAAAGAATTGCCGTTCAGGTCGCCCCTCCAAAGGCTTAGGGGAAGGAGTATTGGGGTCAGCATCGGGGGGTCGGGGCACTGGTGTAGGGGATGGTGGCTGCCCCCATTTCCAGATCAGGATCTTCTGAACTTTACCTTTCAGTGAAGGGCACTAAAGAAAGATAATTAAACACAAAAACACAGCTCTAAAAAAAAAGGCCTAACACACCCTACATATCAGTACAGTCAGAGGTTTATAGGGACAGAAAGAGGGAAAATCTTATCTATTTCTTATCCTCATCTAGTACTTATTTCAAACCTAATCTCTTTCACCACCCAAATGCCTAGTTCTCAAAAAATGATACAGGACAATTAAGCTGGGAAAATCAATAGACTTGGAGGCCTGGATTTTCCTTATGGAAAATTATACAGCATTAAGTGGCTCCAACAAACCACTGTGAATTGATAGGGTCCCTGAGGCAGGGTGTTGAGGCAGAGACAGGAACAGAGTGCTCTGGACCAAGACTACACTACTTCATACCCTCTGAACAGTTGGCAAAACATTAACTCTCCTGCCCTACAACATTCCAGAATAGTCCCATAACACATGAATCCCAAAATCACCAGAAGCCTAGGGTTTTATAAAAGCTAGGTAGACAGAAACTGCTTCAGAGCCAAATAAGTCACTTTCCTAGTTCCCAATCAATCCCTTGCCTTCTTTACTCTCACAATGCTTTGGGTACTACATAATAACAATAATGCTGTAAGCTGTGAATTCCATTCCCCCCCTACACCTTCAAGTCAGGCACTCACTGTGCAACGAGGACAAAGCCATTCGCCATTGGGGATCTCTGGGAGTGGGGGATTCAGGCAGTGGATATGGTAGGAGGAGGGGCAGGTGTCACAGCAAAGCAGTTCCCCACCATCCTTGCAGACACGGCAGAACTCCATGTGATGATCATCCTCCTCCTCAGGGTCACCACCAACTTCTTCTAGGATTTCTTCACCTTCAGAGTTGTCCTCCTTTGCCTCCCACTGGATACCCTCCTTTTCCTATGGTAAAGGATCACAGCTAGGTTCCACCCCCTACAGTTCTTGACCTACCTTTTCCCCAAAACCAATTCCTTTCCCCCAAATCTCATAAGCTTCATCCCTGTAATCCCACAGAATACAACCTCCCCCAGATCCAAAGGGGCCCATAGTTGACCAGTACTCACACAGTGTGGACAACTCCACTTGCCCTCCGGGGCCTTCTCCATATCAGGATCCAGGCAGACCATGTGGTACGCACGGGGACAGGTATCACACAGGATGATCTCGCCTCCTTGCTGGCACACTTCACAGTAGTCCTGGTGGTCTGTCTCATAACCATCCACAGCAGTCACCTCCTCCTCGCCTAGGCAAGGAAGAGGGGAAGCCCAGTAAGTAGCACAACCCGCCACCCATTATGATACCACCCCCGAGTCTCAGGCCTATCTTTAGGGGATTTGAGCCCTCACCAACAACCATACAAAGACATAAGAGAAACACACCTTTCTTTTTCTTTTTGGTAGCTCTGAGTTTCTTGCGGCTGCGGCTGCTCCGACTAGTTGAACCGTCTGACACAGAGTAACTGTTGATACTAGCATCATCAAAGTCAGATTCCACATCCAGGTCATCATCTTCACTCTAGAAGGATGAAAGGGATCAGAGATATAGAAAGTCTTAGTCAAGGGGAATATGTATATGGTGAGGAAAGTACCATTCTTCCCTTTCAGGGAAAGTGTTAGGATACTAGAAGGGAGTACTAGATGTCTACTGTAACAACTCTGCCCATAACCTCCCACACTTGTATCTCTACTGCTGTATCCTGTTCCAGGATCCTTCCTCCTTAAGATTTGGTGACCCTACCACTCACCGAAGACCTCTTGCGTTTAGAGCCAAAGCCTCCCAGTTTGATTTTCAGAGGTGCCACCTTCTTCGGTTTAGGCTTCTTAGCATCAGGCACACGGGGGCTAGCTTTAGGCTTCCGTCGGGCATTAGGACCTAAAAGAAAGGAAAGGAAAGGAAAGGAAAGTCAAATGCAAATACCAACTCTCTAAAGTCTCCAGAAGCTTGCCTTATTGACCTTATTCCCTCATTCACCTTTAATCTCCTCCTATTTCTGACTCCATCCCTGTTATCTACAAATTTTGTCAGGTTTACCACTTCCTTTAAAAGAAAAAAAAAACCCACACACTTCATTTAACCTTATCTTACCATACCCCTCAAGCTACTGATCACTTTCTTCCCTTTCACTGCCAAAATTTTGGAAAAAAAATCATCCATGCTCACTCTTTGCCTCTACTTCCTCATCACCTACTCACATTCTCCAACTCTTCCAATCTGGCTTTCAACCCCACTACTCCACTGAACTTTTTGCCAACCACGTAACTGCTAAATTCAATGGCATTTTCCATCCTTCTTGATTTCTCTACAGTTTTTTCTGACACTGCGGACCCCACTCCCATCCCACCACCATATGTACCTGGATATTTTTTCTTCCCTTGGTTTTCATAACACTGCTCTCTCCTGATTTTTCCTATCTACTTGATCTATCTTTCTCAGGAACCTATGCTAGACCATCTTTCATCTCCTAACTCCACAGAGTAGATGTCCCCCAGGACTCTGTCCTCAGCCCTTTTCTCTTTACATCTTCTTTCTAGATCACTTCATCTGCTCCCATGAGTTCTATTATCATGTATAAAGATGACTCACAAATCTATATATCCACTCTACTCTTTTTTTGTTGTCTTTTTTGTTTGTTTTGCTTTTTTGGTGAGGCAATCAGGGTTGAGTGACTTGCCCAGGGTCACACAGCTAGTAAGTCTGAGGCCGGATTTGAACTTGGGTCTTCCTGACTCCAAGGCTGGAGCTCTATCAACTGCGCCACCTAGCTGCCCCTATCCATTCTACTCTTTCCTAAGTTCTCAGTCCGGCATCATTAATTGCCTGCTAGACATATCCATGTGGAAGTTCCAGCAGTATTTCAAAAACAGTAAGTCTAAAACAAAGTTTATGATCTCCCCACTGAAAAACCCCATTTCTAAACTTCCCTATTTATCCTAGTCACCTCTTCCATTTTCACCTCCCAAGTCCAATCAATTACGAAGACCTATTGATTCTGCTTCTACAACACCTCCACCTGGTTATTCTATCAGTACCTCAAACTCCACTTGTACAATGAATTACCCAGTCCTGTCAATTCACCCATTCTCTTCTGTCCAGTCACAGAGCTACCACTCTAGTTTCAGCCATCAAAAGATTTTAGACTACCTTAACAGATTGCTGTGTCTGCTTCCAATCCTTCCCTTCTCCAATACTCCTCCCCACAGCTGACAAATTAATATTCCTATAACACATCTGATCATGTCACTACCTCTGTGCCCCACTCCCCTTCCTACTCAAAAATCCATACTGCCTTTAGGACAAAAGTTCTACCTCCTCAGCCTGGCAATAGGGCCCACCACAATCTGACTCCAGGCTTATCAAATTACTCCCCTTCACACTTTATGCTGTAGCCAAATTTGATTAAATCAGCTTCCCAAACTCAATGTCCCTCATTCCTGAAGTGTTATCTTCTCATCCCTGCTTCTTAGACTCCTTATTTCCCTTTAAGGATCAGTATAGCTGGCACTTCTTCTGCGAAGCCCTTCCTGATACCCCCAAATGTCAGTGCTATTTCCCTCCTCATACTGCCATACAGAACACATCTTCCCCTACCTACCCACCTCCCCAGGAGAATGCAAGCTCCTTGAAGATTATTTTGCTTTTATCTTTGTAAGTCGTCCCCTGAGCCAAGCACAGTGCCTTCCACATATGACACTTAACACAAGTTTGCTGAACTGAACATATCATTGGGCAGTAGGTCTAAAAAAAGGAAACAATCCTCCTTATAGTATTTCCTAAACTAGTTTCACCAACATAATTTTCCCCAAACTCCTCCACTCTAAACCTGAGATCCAAATTCAACCTTGAGGTAAGAAAAGATCCTAGGACCAGACTTTTCGACACACTCCTATCTTATCTCACTAACCTTTGCCCTCCTTGGTTTTGGCCTTGCGGATGGGTACTTCCACAGGGGGTGGAGGAGGAGCAACTTCAGTTGCAGTTACCATACTCTCCACCACAGCCACAGCAGCAGCAGCTGCAGCTGCCACTGAGGCCCCAGAACTGCCCTTGAAGGGGTTGTTGGTGCTGAACTCTCGCCACTTGGCCCCTAGAACCATCATCATCTTGGAAACTGCAATCTTGGGGTTCTTAGCAGCAATGAGAGGTCTGGGGAAAGAAGAATGAAAACAGACACTAGTTGATAAACTGAAAAAATAACAGGACTAGAAAATGAAAAAGAGAGGTACATGCCCCTTCCCTAAGGACCCCTGAGTCTTAGCTTAAATACCGGACAAACTGGCTGAAGGCCTTATAGTTAGTAAGGGTGCGGTAATCTTCTTCTGAGAACACGTGGTCAATGTCCTCCATGCCCCAATCTTCCAGTAGCTGACCTGATGACTTGGGCTCCTACAAGAGACCAAAGGAAGAAAGTCAAAGCCCTGGCAGTCCTTTCAATGGCACATATTAAGGAGTAACAAAGAACCTTTGAGAAGCTGAGAATTACTAGATCAGGATAATACTACAAGGGGGAGGAACTGGAAGTCAGGTACTTTATAAGAGAAAGCCTTCTAAGGGGCATTGAGATACTTTGGAAAGAGAAATAAAAGGAATGAGAAAGAAAAAAAAGAACATGAGGGATCTGAGTACCTTTGAGTCATCATCATCATCATCCTCTTCTTCCTCCTCCTTCCTCTTAGACTTGCTTTTCTTCTCTTTCTTAGGTCCAAGCTTCTTCTTCTTTTTCTTGCCAGGAGTATAGTCACTGCCCTCGCTGTCTGATCGCAAAACCATCTCATCTTCTTCCTCCACAAACTCAGGCCCCTCCCCAGAACTGTCTCCCAGCTGCCGGCATAAGAGCACACGCTAGAACAGGGAGGGGGGAGAGGGAAAGGGAGACAGACACACACATGCTACACACATGCTGGCCTTGGGACAGCCACCTGGCTTATCCCAGGACCTTTCCTACACAAAATCCACCTCCTACACACAAGTCTTCTCTATCCCTAATTCTCATAATTTTGACTCCTTCCCACCCTTCCTCCATTCATACCTTAGCTACCCTCACTCACCTCTTTTTTTTGTCGCTTGCTCTTTGGGATTTTAGGATCCCGGGGTTTCTTAGGCTTCTTCTTCTTTTTGAGTTTAGGAGTCTCTGCCTCTGATAAGTCTTCCTCTGGGTCTTCTTCATTCTCTTAAGTATGTTCATTAAGGTGGGATGTAAAGAAGGAGAAGAAAGATAGGGAAATGTTAGGACCCAATGCTGAGTCTTCAACCTACAATTTCTCCCATTCTGAAGGGAATCTGCCTTCTTCACTCACCTCCAGGAGACTAAAAGAAATTGATACTCAGAAAAGAAAAAGTCCAAGGAAAAGCTGTCTGCATATTAAACAGAGCCACTATAGCAGGTCAGCCACCTCTGGCCTATTACAGAGGCCCAGGGCCACTCATTAAGAGCAATCTTCTTGGGGCAGCTAGGTGGCGCAGTGGATAGAGCACCAGCCCTGAAGTCAGGAGGACCTGAGTTCAAATCCGGCCTCAGACCAAACACTTGGACACTTACTAGCTGTGTGACCCTGGGCAAGTCACTTAACCCCAATTGCCTAAAAAAAAAAAACAAAACCAAAAACAACAACAACAACAACAAAAAACAAAAACAAGGGCAATCTTCTTTACCTACACTAACACAGCTTCTGAATTAAGGTAACTAACAGGGTAGGAGAAATTAAGTCCCAACATTCTATCGATGCACTGCAATTGACAAGATATTCCTAACCTAGGGAATTACACTAGCTGAGAGGTAGGAAGTATAGCAGTAACTCTTTCTCTAATAACATGCTGAAAATATGGGTAACAATTCAGCTCCAGGGTTCCCCATAGCCTCACATTTAACCAGACCCTTTGGGTCACTGCTACTCAGGGCAACCACAGCCTCTGGATACTAGGCTCAGCTGCCAATAGTATCTCCAAAGACAGTTTCCTCCTATACTCCTCTCCACCCCTTCCCTAATAGTTTACTCCCCCCTCTTCCCTATCCCAAGCTTCTTCTCTCTGGTCTCCCCTGGGCCCAAGTCAAATCAGCTGTTACTACCCTCCAACCCAGCCTTCTCCCATCTGGCTTCCCCCTCCCCCTTGGTTCTGGGCACACTAGCACAAAGCCTAGGGTTATATACAAGGCTACTGGGCAGAGCTAGGTTGGGAGGGGGGCATTGAGGGGGAGGAGAAGGACAGATGTTGCTTCTTTTTTAACAGAAATCCATGTCAGCTCACTTATTCCCTCTTCTCTGGCCACCCCTACCCATCATAAAGATGGTAAGGAAGGTACCTCACCATTAAGGAGAGGGAAAATGGCTCCTGACCACAGAAGCCACCCAGGGCACTCAGCCTGCCAATATAGGGCAGACAGGAAGTGGCTGGGAGGTTTGAAAGGGGAAAGAAATTGTTCTCATTGAGAACTTTCTTGTCCTTTTCCCCTTCAAAAGGGCCCCAGATCCAGGTATCTTACCCAGCTTAGGTTGACATTCTTCTTGAGAGACCTCAAGATAATGAAACCCAGTATAAATGCACAGGGGGCATTTGATAACAAAAGGTTGAGTTACATCACCAAAAAATTTGTTTTAAAGACCAGAACATAGCTAGGACATTGAGAGTGGTCCAAACACACAGTCCCTTTTTGCCATACCTCTGAGAGCTAATATTTCATTGATTTTAGTGGGAATCCATGGCAAGAAGTTCTAAAACACACTCTACAATGCCACCTTCATGAGAGTAACCCAGTGAAGTCCCTCATTTCCCTCAAGTTTCAGAGACTCACACACCTGGCCCAAGAAACATAAACAACATTCTTCTTACAATTCCATACAAGCGCCTACCTTCTGATCCCTAGAGACCTACCCCCTAAGCAGCCTCTGGCTCTTCCCTCCCAGGACCAGACATTAGAAAACAGACATCAGGTTAGACAAAGCCCCATCAGGCCCCTAGCCTACTTAGCCCAAGATCAGGCTAGGCTCAAGACAACCCCTCCCACTCCCAAGGGAACAGGACACCCGGCCTAGATCTCACCAGGAAGAATAATTTTCTGGAAGGCCTCTTCTGAACACTCCTATGTTAGCCTATGATCAACAACACCCCAGTTCCTCCTTTTTAGAACCCCTATAAAGACTCCGAAGAGAAAGGCAAGAGGCATGAGGAGGCAAGAGGGACACTCTAGTCCACCCACAAATAGCCCCCCAACCTCTCAGTCAAAAAATGTGCTGACATGGCCAACATCATACTAGTTGAGATCTGGAGGAAGATTTGGGAAAGGGACAGGAACGGGGTGTGGCAAAGTGGAAAAACTGGGTCATAGAACAGCTTGGGGCAGAGTTCATCTTGGGAGCCTATACAGCTTCCAGCTAGGACAGGAACAACCCCAGCCCTGGGGGCCAACAGAGGGGGGAAGAGGGAAAATTGCCTGTGGTTCACCTAGCCTCTGGGCCAATAGCACAAGACAACTCTACTATTTGTCAAGAAAAGGCTAGGACCACTCTACTTCCTTTGACAACATGACAACCATATGCTACCCCAGCCTATACACACCAAAGGAGTTCAAAATTTGGCCCTTCACTAGACAAGCAAAGGCCAGGGGAACATAGGGATTAACATCCATCCAAACAACTGAGAAGGGCAGAACAGAGGCTCCACTGACACATCCCTGGCCCTAACTTAGAAAACTCCAAATCTAGAAGCATCTCTAAGGCAGCACAGTTTTTGTCAAAAGTAAAGAAAATTAAAACTAAAAAAGATAGTCATGAGGGAACCTAAGCAAGATCAGTAGCTTCGAAATGAGAGAATGGATGGTTCAGGTAACAGAAAATTAACAGCAGCAGCAGCAGTTAACATTTATATAGTACTTTAAGGTTTAACACTTTCCATACTTTGTCTCATTTGAACTTCACAATAATCCTGTGAAGAAGATTCTACATCTATTATCCCCATTTAACCAAAGACAAAACTGAGGTTCAGGGAGGTTTCTTGGCTGGCCAATGGTCACTAACAACTAAAGCTAACGACAGAATCTGAATCCAGGACTCACTACACTGTTTCTCTGATACTTCAAGATCCAATACAAGGAAAAAGTTCACATGAATAGACAACAAGGTGGATAAGAAAACCTGAGATAAGGAAAAAAGAAAAGGAATAGGAGAACAAAAAGGCCAGTTTAGGGGCAGAGGAAAAAACAAGAGAAGCACATGACATCTCTCCACCTGAGCAATTAACCAAAGCTCTGCTCCTCAGGACTGGTCAGTGCCATCTACAGAAAGCACAGGGTAAATCCAACCATTTCAAATTGCCTGGTCCAAGGACCCACCCCAAACACATATAACACACCTCTATACTTTCTTCTCCCTCTCCCCTCCAAGATAAACATACTTTCTTAGACATGAGGTCTTCTGTTAAACATTCCTTCCCTAAACAGAAAGATGGAAAGTCTTAAAAAAAAATATTCCTTCCTACTCAAATGTACTGGGGGAGCTCTTCTGCTCCCCAAACCTTCAAACCTTGTCTTCTAGATCATTAACATATTCCCTCAGCTTCATTCCCCAACCAAAACACTCTAGCAATTTGCCTGGCTGCAAGTGCTCCATATCCCGGCTGTGAGCGAGATTCAAACTTTGCACAGTTCAGTCAGCAGAGTGAACAGAAAACCGGTAACAGATCATTGGCTAAAAATAAACTGAAAAAGAGAACCCAGCAATCCCTGTTTATACTTTCCAAGGCGGCAATGACCCTTACCCCGAAGACCCCATTAGATTTTGGAGATGCTTGGCCACTCTCCCCCCTCAAAACCCTAAGGCCAAGCCATAAAACATTGGCTGATCATAACCTAAGCTTAATGCTACCCTATTCATTCTAAGTTTCACTTACAGCAATATCCTCATCTCACCATGAGCTCAGACCATACAATGGGCACAAATGGGCACTAGATGTCATCTCCAAAACACCTCAATCCATGCTGCCCAAAGCAGAAACACATGGCTGCCATCACCCTCTTTACAGGAGAGCTCTGCAGAAGAGAACCACTCCCTCTAGATACCCTCCCACCTCAAATCCTGCAAAGAGAGGCATTACCCAACCCTGCCCCAATAGAGTCACTTGGGGAAGGCCCCAAAAGCCTCCTCTTTCCCAGCCTGTGGCCCCTTCAGAGCACTTACCTGGGTGGGGTGGGGGAAGGCTGTTTAGAAGCACCTCCATGTCCTCTTCCTCACTGCCTGCTGAGCAGGGGGATGGGGAGCCCAGGCCTGAAGCCATCCCCTTCCACTCCTGGCCAGGGAATTGGCCCAGCTGCTCCTGCCTCCGGCCTGGGGCCCTCTGTGCTGGCCCGAGTCACTGTGCAGGGAGGGGGGGGGGGGGGAAGAGACAGAGAAAGAGAGAGAACAGTCAGTGACGTGCACTGTCCCTGTCTCCCTCCCCCACCCCACCCCCACCTATTCTTTCCACCCACCACCCCACCAACCCCCCTCCCCCCTTGCCACTTGGGCCAGACAGCAAAAGCCACTTCAGCTGAACTTCGTTCTTCAGCGTTTCGGGGGGAAGGGTCCGGGATCCGACTCGCTCACCGTAAGGGAGGCTAAGGCCAGAGGTGGGGCAGGGGCAGGAAGGAAGGAGCCCTCCCCTCCTCCAGAACCAAGCGGGCATTGTGGCAGGAGGACAGCTGAGGGCCACGGGGAAGAAGGGGCCTGAGCTGGGCGGGCTGCGAGAGGGGCGATTCTCGGAGGCAGAAGGTCACTGGGGGGCGGGAAGGGGCTGCTCCCGGACGCCGGGGAGGGGTCAGTCCCTACAGAGGGCAGCTGATCCCGGGAGCTCTTCAGGTTTTCCAGGGAGCCAAAGGAAGGGATCGGATAAGTCTCCAGACTTAAGCACGGTCCGGAGTGGGGGGCAGGGCGTGGGGGGAAAGGTCTGCTGGCTAACCTAGGGGAGGGGGCCAGGCCACGTGTCCCAGGGAACAAGCCCGCAAAGGGCAGCAGGGGGGTAGGCGCCTGATGCAGTAGGAAGCCGCCCCCTCCCCGTTGTCCTGCGGGGCGTAAAGGGCCCACCGAGGTCCGAGAAGGCGCCTCGAAACCCTGGGTGGGGGAGGGCTCTGCTCCCCCCGGGCCCTCAGGGGGTCTGGGGGGGGCAGCCAGCCGGTTTTGAAGGGGCTTTCTGCGGGATAGGGCAGTGGACCCCTGGGGGAGTTTCTCGGGAAGGTAGTGTGTGTGTGTGTAGGGGTCTTTCCTCGGGGACCCCGCCCCCTCCTCACCCCGGAGCCGCGGGGTCCAGCTCTGTGTAGCTCTCGCTCCCACTCCAGCACCTCCTCGCCGCGGCCGAAGGGGGGAAAATGGCTCCGGCTCCGGCTTCGCCTCTTAAAGGGCCCGAAACACCGGCCGGGAAATCCCACAGCCCAAGCCCCCCCCCCCCCCCCCCCCCCCCCCCCAGTCCCCTACCCCCCACCCTCCACCTTCCTCCCTGGATCTCCCCGGCAACGCCCGCCCCCTCGTCGCCCCAGCAACCATTGGCCACGCCCCTTCATCGCTCGCGCGCGTGTCACCAGAGCAACCGCCCACCTCCTGGACATCCCATAATACTCGTGGACTCCCCCACTTCCATACACATGTATGCCAGAGTTAGGGGCATCCCATAATACTCAGTTCCTTTGCAACTCAACCCTTTCTCCCCAAACATCCCATAATAACCATTCTCCTGCCAACTTCCCCACTCTAACCCCCCAGGATTGACATCCCATAATGATCCCTCTCACCCCTCCCTCTTCATGGCCATCCCATAATAACCACCCCTCCCAGCCCTTCAGCCTTACATCCCATAATACTCACCCCCCATCCCCCAACAGACATCCCATAATAACCACCCTCCATCCACCCCCACTTTGACATCCCATAATATCCACCCTCGCCCTCTGCAACAACGGCCATTCAGGGCCCCTTCCCACACACATCCCATAATAGCCAGTCTCCCCTTTTCTATATAGACATCCCATAATAACCAACCCCCTGGTAGCTCCCCCCAGCCCCTCCAGGCTAGTATCCTCTTGATAGTCTCACCACCATCCTTTACACACTCACTCTGTAGTCTAGCAGCCCATAATAATCACCCCTCCCCTATATGCAGATGTCCCATAATGATCAGCACCCTCACTGTCACCCCACAGATGGACATCTAATCACCTCTTCGCTCAAGACATCCCATAATAATACAACTCTCCCACTCCAACCCAGATATCCCATAATAAACACCAGGGGCAGCTGGGCAGCCAGGCATCCCATAATACTTCCAGAAACAACCTAGTGTCACATCCCATAATATCTCATCCCCCCCCATACCCTTCCAGCCAGGCAGCCCATAATACTCACATTCATACCTCCCCCATCTCCAGACACACAGTCCATACTAATCATCAGGAGCAGGGAGGGCGAGGCAAGGCTACCCACACTGTCCAGTTTGCACACGCACGCACGCGCGCGCACACACACACACACACACACACACACACACCTCCACCCCACCCTGAACCAGAACTGTATCCTGGAGTGATAGTCTGTGATGTCCTAGATCCTGGCCTCCTGACTCTAGTCTCCTATGGAGACTACTCAGAAATAGAGAGACCACCTGGAGCCCCATTCAGATACATTGAAAATTGGAAACTCCAGATGCTTAGCTTCCACTCCAAATCCTGGTGAGGTTTACCAACCCATGATACCATCCCAGGTAGACGAGCCATTTTCATGGAGCTTACTCTTTCTCAGGCTTTCCCATGATATTCACTGGGCTCAATGCAAAGACTATCATATAAAACTCCAGCTAGTTCTCTTCCCCACCCTCAAGCGCTGGGGACTTGTTCATCAACGTGCCCAAGCAACTCTTATACGTTATGTGGACTGAGGCCCCTCCACATATGCCCAGGAGTAGGCCCTTAACTGCTCACCCACATCCCATAGTGCACTCACTAATTCATCTGATATTTATTGAGTGTTTAACTGCAACATTGCGCTAGGCCCTGGGAGGATCCCCAAATTGCCTCAATTGCCCTCAAAAAGCTGACAGTCTAGTAGAGGTTAAGAGAGGTACATAAATAACTATAATATATGTCATAAATTTATACCAGATACTATGAGAGAGGTACAAAGCACCATAGCAGTCCAAAGAGATAACTTCACTACTCAGCTGGGATTTCTAATATCACATAAACCAATCTCAGCTATTCTCAACAATGTCTTGATCTCCAATAACAAGTCCCTGATGGCTGTCATCCAAGGGAGATTACAGAGTGGCCTCACTTACACTCAGGTTAAGGTAGCCTGTTAGCCATATTAAGAAACATTTCATGCTATAGTAAATGTTCATCTCCCCTGAATCCCAGAATCCTAAAATATTAACATTTTCCTCAGGACACTCACCAAAATCCCACAATATGCTATATTGTCCCATTACCCACTACATCTTTGATGCTCAGTGTCCCATCTTCTTCAATGATTTTCCCTTTATGATATCCCATAATGCTCCCTGTTGTTCCTATTCAACTAGTCCATCCTCCAACCCTATCTGTCCCCGCGTTCCCAGGATATTCTATGTTACTCTCCATCTTCTGCTTCACATGCACTAACCACCACCAACATCCCATCAAACTTTCTCACCCTGGAGCTATTGTAACAAGTGGCACTTCTACGTATTATACAAAGTGGCCATGCTTGTCAACAGTAGGAATAGAGGGTGGCCTCTATTCCTACACTGGAATAGTGCCTAGAAAATCTTTGAGGCCTCTTCTCCACATCCCACCCATTCCCTTTGCTTTTCAGAAGTCCAGTACCCCCGTGGTCTTTTCTTCCATACCTCATCAGATCTTTTCCTTTCTGTCTGAAAAACCTCAACCCCCTAGAGAAACAGGCCCTAAATAAGCAGAATCTAGATTTCTTGTCTTCAGGAAGCTTTCAGTAGCTTTGCACCCTAAACAGAGACTTTTCTCTCAGGCTCTATATTGACTTCAGAAAGTCTGCTTTCTGGAATTTAAACTCTGTGGAAGATATTAATGATTAGACAGAAGCAAGGCTTACTCCACCAAAATGCATGCTCATAACAGGCTGTTAATTCACAGCCTTTTCTTTAATTCCAAGCTCATTTCCCTACACATAAGTATTCTTATCCAATCTGAGAATTGATGGATCAGGAAAACTAGCAAAAATATATTTTCCATTCCCACAACTTTCACTTATATCTCTTCTAAGCCTCTCAAACCACAAGGTATCTCTCACTCTCTCAAAGCCAATTTCTTCTTCAGAAAGACAGAGCAGTCACACAATCTCATAGTTAAAAGGAACCTCCACAGCTCTTTAATCCAATCATATTTGAACACAAATCCCGTCTGCACCAGACCTGGCAGGTCAGTGTTCTGCCTTTATGTGTGAGAGGGAACCCACTACATGTCAAGACAGACCATTACACTTTTAGGTAGCTCTCATTTTTTAGGAAGTTTTTTTTTTTCTTACAGAGGGCCTAAATCTGTCTCTTCCCAACATACACCCATTGCTCCTACTTCTACCGTCTGGGGCCAACCAGAAGAATTTTAATCTCTCTTTCACTTGACACTCCGAAACAGCTATTCTATCCCACCCTGCCTCCCAAGTTTTCTCTTTTCCAGGCTAAACACTGGTAATTCCTTAAACCAATTTTCTTATGGCATAGTCTCCAATCTTCTCAAAAGCCAAGTCACCCTACTTCTGGATGCTCTCCTGCTTGAGTAGATCCATCTGAAAATGTGATGCACAATAGTACAGATGTCATCTAACTAGGACAGAAAATAGTGCCAACTACTTCCTTTTTTCTGAACACTATGCCTCCTTAATGCAACAAGGATAGCATTAGCTTTTATAGCTGTCTGTCACACTTATGACTCATATTGAGCTTGCAGTCCATTAAAACCCCTAGATCTTTTTCTAATGAACTGCTGACTAGCCAGGTATCTTTTGTCTTGTACTTGTGAGTTGATTTTTTAAAAACTCAAGTGTAAGATTTTAGATTTATTCCTATTAATTGAAGGGTTGAATAAACTGTGGTACATTAATGTAATGGAATACTATAGTGCAATTAAAACTGACAAGTGTGAGGAATACAATGAAATCTGGAAAGATCTTTATAAAATAATGCAAAGTGACAAAAAGCAGAACCAGAAGAACAGAGTATACACATAATGACCAGATAATACAAGAGGAAAAGTGAAGGAGAATAAATGGACTATGGGAGTAACTAAAAATTGCAATGATATTTTATACATTAACTTATTTAAATATTGTTAGTCAAAATGCATATTTAAATAGTTGTATTGATGTATGATATTGTTTATAATAAAATCTGTTTAAAAATGTTTCCTATTCAATTGTGTCTTATTGATTCAGCATAATATTCTTGTCTATTGAGCTATTTTTGGATTCTGATTGTCATATAATGTGTTAACTACTCCTTCCAGCTTTGTATCATCTATAAATTTGATGAGCATGCCATCTATGCCTTTTTTCAAGTAACTGATAAAAATATTAAATAGCACAGAGCCAAGGACAGACATCTGGGATGCTCCACTAGAGATCTATTTTCAAGTCATTGAATCATTGAGTTCATTGGATGAACTTTTGACTCTTTGGGTCTAGTCATTCAACCAGTGCTGAATCCAGCTCACCATACTATCTAACCCATATCTTTTTCAGCTTGTCCACTAAGATAACATGAGACTTTGTCAAATACCTCCACCAAAAACCAGCCAGATACTAAGTATATTATTCTTTCCCTTATCCTGGATCCCTAAGTAACCCTGTTCCTCTCAGGGTTTCAATTTCCCCTCCCTAATATCACCACACCCATCCCATTCCCTCCCATATACCTAAGACACAGGATTGTTCTTTCAGTGTTTAATTCAATTAAAAACATTTATTAAGCACCTGGTGCTTCAGGTATTTTAAGGTACCATGCTCATTGCTAGAGATATAAAGAAAAAAATTAAATTGTCTCTGCCCTCAAGGATTTTATGTCCTCTTGGAAAGATAAAACATGTGAAGTACAGGATAATTTGAGGAGGAAGAGAACACCAACTAGAAGGACACAATCCGAAGGTACCCTAAGCTGAACCCTGAAGGAAGATGAGCATAAGAAAAAACCTAGAGGAGGAGGAAGAGTATTCCAGGTCTGAGGGATGGTTCTGAGAGAAGAGATGGAAAGTCAAATTCAGGTAATAGCTAGTACTCTTGTTTGTCTGAAACATAAAGTACATGAAGAAGAGTAGTACATAAAGAGTTTGAAAGTTAATTGGGAGCCAAATTGCAGAAGGCCTTAAATGCCATGCCGAAAAGCTTTGTAATTTCATTGCGGAGGAAAGAGAAAGATGCCTACTGAAGACTTTTGGCAAGGTAATGACATGGTCAGACATGTGTTTTAGGAATATTAATGTGGATGATTCGAAGAGAGTAGAGACTGGAAGAAGAGATACCAATTTGGAGACTATTGCAGTTGTCCAGGCCAGAGGTTGTCCAG